GACATTTTCAGTATAATATTGATAATCATTGATAAACGGAATACCTCGCAGCATGGCCAATACTTTTTTAAGCTTCATCTTACTATCTACTCTCTGGGCAATAAAAGACGCAGCTAATATTGCAGAATTTCCATACGTGGTAAGAAGCGGGGTTAATAGATTCACAGAGAATACGCAAACACTCGATGGATGCATGTTAGTATTAATTAAGACATTTCAGTTACAAAATACGTTCAATATCACGATCTGTCGCTCAAGACACATCGAGACAAGAAATTTAATAACTTTTAGTATAATTTTGTTCGTAACGTAACATTTACAACTATATTAAAGTGAACTTGGAATAAAAGAAATCGTTTACATCTATATGCACCTACATAATTGATTTGTGTTAGAAATGTTTTATCATTTTAACGATATATTTTATATCCGAATGCAAATGTGCGCTGGAGTTGGAATTTAACAATCAAACGTTGATCAATAAAGCCAAAACTTTTGCTTCATTCATTTCCTTTTCCAGCATTTCATAATCCTCATGATTTTACCTTATTTTTGCACCATATGGTTTATAATATACCACGTGTTTTATTTATTTTATGAAAATAATTAAAAATACTGACCATAAATTATTGTTAAAAAGAAAATATATAAATCTCTATTGACAAGTTAAAAAGTCTCATTATCATTACAAATGTTATTAAAGCTGGGATGGCAAATTTTGAAAACCGCGACCCCGTTGTTGTACTCTACAGCAACAGGGTCGCATACCAGTCGTACGCGTTTTCGAGAATCGAAAACCTTTCATAAAATTTAAAGAACTTATTTTTATTGAATGCTAACAGGTATCTATACAAATAAATATTCGTTCACCACGTCATTATGATCCACTAAAGGGATCTGGGCACATATTTGCGATGGATCAATAATAAGTAATAAATGGATTTTAACGGCAGCGCATTGCATTGGAAGATCACGGTAAAATTTTAATTACAAAACACGAAGAAGAAAAAAATTCGAACTCAGCATAAGATATGAAACTAATTCAGATTTAATATATTTTTAACATTCATCTGATAATTCGATAATGTGTATCGATACACATACACAATCATACTGTTCCACATTTTGAACTAAATACTATACATTAAGAATTACTTAGTTTATTTTTTTAATTTCTCAATCATTTGTTGAAATTTATTTAAAAACACAATCTTTTAATTGTTCAATGCAAATATTGTAACAATTTTCAGTCCGAATTTTGTGGATATGTTATCTATTTTTTTTAGAGATTTCCTATTTTTTGTAGCTTTGAACAGGTATTTGAGCTTTAACAAATTGCAATATGATAATAATTTTTGTTTAGAAAAGAAGAATATGATCATTTCAATTACGGAGTGATGACCAAAGTTCCTGACAATCAGATATATGAAGAAAGTATTACTAAATCACGTAGAAAACGTTGCCAAAAGTTTTTCATTCACCCGAATTTTTCTGTATCTAACGAATTATTTCTTGAAGACTATCTCAAAGATAATATTGGCTTAATCAGGGTATATTATATTATGTGATTATAGTATGTGAATTACTAGAATAACTTTTGAGAATTACTGAATATATTGCCCAGATCATATTTTTAGTTGGTGGATTCAATCAATTCTTCAATAGGAAAACCTATAAACCTTCCAACAAATTACAATTATGATATAGAATTAAAAAGTTTGTACAAAGTATGTCGAACAGGAAATTATGAAGGTTACAGAATGCCACATCACAGTAAGAATTTTAAAACTACATGCAACATTTAGACCCTAACAATAAGTATATATATTTCGAAAGTATTGCAAGTCCACTTTAATAATTTATACAATGGAACAGCTCCAGCTCTGTTTCTCTTTTGCAGCCAAGAAATATATATTTTGTTACTGTTTAATTTGCCTAAAATAAGTTTGATATAATTAAATTAAACGTCGGTAAAAACGTAGATATACACTATACTACACTTAGTTTTTCTAGTTTTTTTTTATTTAATAGCAGAATAGATGTTAAACTTTATAATTTTCTCGAAACAATAAGGCAATGTGGATTCACACTACTTTCAAAATAAACAGTCTATTTTAAAGTTCATCAGACCTACTTATGATACAAAAATATCTTCAATACAATGATAAAAGTAATTGTTTTTAATTTTCAGTATTCTACAGAAACGATTTTAATGAAGCCGATTTAAAAAATAATTTCGTGGTGCGTGATATGACAGTTTTATTTTCTGATGAATGTAATGTGAATTACTTACATAGTAGTAGAAAATTTAAAAACATGTTTTTCATGAGACCAGAACTAATGTTAAAGCATACATTAAAGTCTATGATTGATCATGGAGTCATGTGCACACAGCTAAAAAAAATTGACAACAAGAGCAAATGCTTTGTTAGTAAGATTTTTCACATGATAATAAAATATTTTGGAAACAGTAAAAATTATATATCCATTGTCATACTTTTTAATACTAAACGAAATTTTCAGGAAATAAAAAAATAATAATTGATTTTCCATTATTCTTGAAATATTGAAATGTTTTTTTGTAAAATATATGATTACGTTCGAATTTAAGATCTATGCCATTGATATATTTTCTTTTTAGGGCATATCTGGAAGTCCTATAATTTGCGAGAATATACAGGTGAATAATTGAAAAATAATAATGAATTATTGCAATTGACACTGCGTGATTAATACCGCATGTGCGACATTTCCGGAACCGTAGTCTGTAAAGCGGAAACCGTTATTCTTACAGTTAGATATTCTGAATCAAACTAATATCTGTCGCAAATCAAAAACGATCATTACGTTCTGTATACATGCATATATTTAAAAATTAAATTATTAAGATTTACCGTATTTCATGACTAAATTAGTCTAATTATTAATCAATCACAAATGTACGAGTATAGTGGATTGTTGTTTTGAGAGTTTTAAGGGATTCACTAAAGAATATTTTAAAAATCGTATATGTCGTGAATTTTGTATTTAATTCATTTGCGGTATTGGAGTTATTTATTTTGATTAATTGAATAATAATATTCATTTTTAGATTGGCATAAGATCCTGGGGAAATGATTGTTCGTTGGAGCCGCAAAGAGACTTGCGACTTGACAATAAATATTATATAGATTGGATTAATGAAACTATTAAAGAGAATCATAGTAATCACATGCAAAATAACTTGCATAACTTATTGATATTTGCAATTTGTGTGGTCTTTGCTGTGTACCAGTCTAATATTTTAAAAGTTATAAGTATACAAGAGTGTAAAAACATTACGGCA